AGGAAGGAAGATAATTTAGAACCTCACCACTCAGAGGTAATGAATATACACATTTTAGTGCTTATCCTCATGGATAGTATGTGATATTCTACACACTGTTTCGTAACTTGCCTTTTTCTATTTAACATCTTTCCATGGGTAACAGCATAGCCAGGAGTAAAAGGTGGGAAAAGCTGTTTAGCAAGTGAAATGAGAGTGCAGGCTCTGGAACCAGACTGCCTGGGTACACATCCAAGCTCTGCTTCTCACTAGCTGTGTGAGCCGGAGCAGATCACTCAATCTTTCTGTATTTCAGGTTGCCCATCTAAAAAATGGGGATGATAATAGTACTTATGGCTTCATACGGTCAGTTGTGGCGATTAAATGGCTCAATATATCTAAAATACTCACAACAGTGCCTGGCACAAAGTACACTTAATTCCTGGGGGTCAGCAAGCTTTTTCTGTAAAAGGCCACATAGTAAGTATTTTAGGCTTTATGAGCCATATGGTTTCGGTTGCAACTACTCAACTCTGCCTTTGCAGCATTAAAGGAGCCATAAACTGAAAAAAACCAAACCCAATGCCAGGGAGGCAATTTCAACTCATAATGACTCTGTAGGACGGAGTAGAACTGCCCAAGGCAAGGTTTCCAAGGCTGCAATCTTTACAGAAGCAGACTGCCACGTCTTTCTCCCAAGGAGCAGCTGATGGGTTCGAACCGTCGACCTTTTTGCTAGCAGCCAAGCACTTAACCACTGTGCCAAATGCAAAACTTTATTTATGAACACTGAAAGCTGAATTTTTTAGAATACTCATATGTCATGAAATATTGTTCTTCTTTTGATTTTTTTCCAACCATTAAAACTGTAAAAACCATTTTTAGCTCACAGGTTGTACAAAAGCAAGCAATGGGCTAGGCCTGTGGATTATAGTTTGTCAACTCCTACACCATATGATTAGCAGACATAATTAAATTACAGTATTATGTCTATAATTATCTTTCTATAATTTTTTTTAAAAGGCTGCTTAGAACAAGATTGTTTGGATATCCTATAATTTACTTGATCCCCTATTGTTGGAATTTGGGTTATTTCCCGTGTCACTATCATAAACAACCCTGCAATGATTATCCATATAATGAAATCTTAGTGCATATCTATTATTGTGTCCACACCTTAAAATGTAGCTAGTGGTAGCTGCTAAAATGGCCCACAGAGCACCTAGAAAGGAACAGACTCTGAAGAAGCGGCATTAGAAACTAATCTTGTATAAAAACCCATTGTCATTGAGTCGATTCCGACTCATAGCGACCCTATAGAACAGAGTAGAACTGCCCCATAGGGTTTCCAAGGATATAAATCTGTACAGAAGCAGACTGCCACATCTTTCTTCTGTGGAGTGGCTGATGGGTTCGAACCACCAAGCTTTCGGTTAGCAGCCCAGTGCTTAACCACTGGCTCCCAGGGCTCCTCAAACTTGTGTAACCCCCCCAAAAAAAAACCAAACTCACTGCTGTCAAGTAGATTCTCACAGAGATCCTATAGCGCAGAGTAGAACTGCCCCACAGAGTTTCCAAGGAGCGGCTGGTGGATTCAAATTGCCAACCTTCTGGTTAATAGCCAAACGCTTAACCACTGTGTCACCAGGGCTCCCAAACTTGTATAGTTATAGCAAATTTCAGACATGCTAAAGGAGGAGACTTGTAAGTATAATATATATACATATATATAAATTATTATGTACCAAACACCATCCTAAATCCTTTATATATATTAAATCATTTAATCCTCAAAACAATCCCGTGAAGTAAGTGCAATTATTACTATTATCATCATCTCCCCATTTACAGAACAAGAAACTGAGGCACAGAAAGGCTAAGTAACTTCTCCAGGGTCACACAGCTAGCTGGTAAGTATCAGAAGCAGGATTAAACTCAGTTTGTCCGGCACCACGGCCTATGTTCTTGAACACGAGTGCATGCTTCTAAGTACTCACTTTACTATGCACCTTTACACAATTGTTGGTGCTTTTTTATATTTAGGTCATGTTTGCACGCAAGAACAACTTCATATTCTAATAACCTAAACAAATCCTATCCCACAATGGGACACTTCTGGGGGAGACGGTGGATGCCCATGTAACCTTCCTCTTTTGTCCTCCAACTCCTCAAAATGCCAACTCTTCATTCATTTTCCTTGCATTTCTTACCCACAATAGTTGTCCTCTGTAAGCAGTAAAGATTGGAGCATACTTTCA